TGTCCACATCATTAATGAAGATGTTGAACAATTTGGGTCCAAGGACAGAGCCATGGGGGGACCCCACTGATCAGAAGACACTATGTTGAGTGACTTCCATCAATAACTACCCTCTGGGTCTGACCACAGAGCCAATTTCCCAGCCAGCGGATCGTGGTGGACCCAAGGCCACAATTGGCCAGTTTCACCAAGAGGTGATCATGGGATACCAGATCAAAGGCTTTTTTGAAGTCAAGATATATTACATCAATCTCTTCTCCCTTGTCCAGATGATAGGTCACCTGGTCGTAGAAGGAGATGAGATTGGTCAGGCAAGACCTACCTGCAACAAACCCGTGCTGGCTATCCCTTAGGATGTTGGCATCGGCCAGTCCATTAAGGACAGCCTCTTTAATAAACTTTTCAAAGATCTTCCCCGGGATAGAAGTCAGGCTGATGCTCAAAGCTAGTTGGAGTTTAGTTGCAGCCTTGGCTTTCCTGGTTTGCTCCCTGCAGGACCAGATCAGTGCAGAATAATCCTCCTTGGAGGTGAATCCCATCCTCCATCCTTTGTAGGCCTTTCTTTTTAGCCTCAGGAGGTCTGCTAGATCCCTGGAGAGCCAGGGGGGCTGCTGTGCCCTCTTGCTGCCATATTGCCTCTTGCTACATATTTCGTCATATGTCTTAGAATTAAAGCACTGGATTCAGTAGGCCAGACCCTGATTTCACTTTGTGCTGGGGTAAAACAACTAGCTCCACTGAAATGTAAAACTTTTGTAAGTATGCTTAGTATTGGAGCCAATGCCTGCCAGAGAAGAGAGGCAGATTCCTAGTTGAAACACTTCTGAGCAGAAAGATACATCCTCACACATGTAAACCTTAGTGCAGGGTTTTATTCTAAAATACGGCTAGATAAATGTGGCCTCTCTTAGGCAACACATCTGGATCTTCTGTGTTTAAAGTCAGATCACCTCACTCTGGGGACAAAAAGGAGTTTTCCTTTCGTTTCTCTCCTGTTTGTGCTGCAGTCAGTAGCCCTGAGAGCGGTGGTGCTCTTCCACCTGGCAGGCCAGCAGCAGAATTGTTTGCTGAATTCCACTGGCACAGCGCATTGCAATGCATGGGAGGGCACTGGTGTTCCTGGGAAAATAAGCTGAAGTGCGGTTACACAGGTGTCAGTGAGGGCTTAATTTGGCCAGCAGAAACCTTATTACAGGTAAGAATGCACACAATGGCAAGGCACAACAGTAGCTTATATCTTGGATTGCTTTTTCAGGGCCAGCAATATGGAGGGAAGCCCCTCTTTTTGTTTAACACAAGCGTATGCTACACAAGTCCCACACGACGCTTTCAGGAGCACGCTCAGAGGGTAGAATCTATGCAGAGCTGACAAAGTGGCTGAGAAGCTGGGATTCTAAGGGTTCAAGTGATATAAAGCTTTGCTTTCTAGGTCTAGTGGTTCCTGGGATAGCAGCTGCTGTGATCATCATTTCAGAAGTGCAAACAAAGCAGAATAAAATACAAACTCACAGCCAGCTTTCCCATCTAGCCCTGTGGAGTTTACTACCATATATCAGAATTTGAATCTAACATTGGCCCCAATATACAGGGGGAGATAATTCTCTCATGGGTCAGGGATGGTGGATGCAGAATGCCTGAGCTCTAAACAGTGACTGTACTTGGCATGCCCTGGAAATATCAAAAACAGTAAAGCTATTAAAAATCTATAAATATTTCCTCCCCCTGCAACTCTCTACTTTTTTCCTTTGTTCCCCCTGTGTTCTTTGTCCCCCCCCCAAATGCAGACACACAGTCATGCACCAGTCATATAAAATGTTACATTTAAATCGCATGCTTATTCAGGATCTATGCAGACTCTTACTTGTGAAACCTCTGAGGCTTTTTCTGTCAGCTGCAGGCTAGTACCTGACCAACACTTATCATAGGGTTATGAGTTGGAGCTCCATGTTGAGCAAGAAACATCTTTTTTTACTTAGGGATGTAGCTCCATGGTAGAGGACTATAGGAAAGAAGGGGACCTTGCAAGGTCATTTAATCTAGTCTCCTGCTCAAGGCAAAATCATCCTTGGCTAAATCATCCCAGTTTTCTAATCTGCTCTTGAAAATGCCCAGGGATGGAGATTTTTTAATTTCTCTAGGCAGACTGTTCCAATGCTTGACCACTCTCGTAGGCAGAAAGTTCTTCCTGATGGCCAACCTACATTTCCTCTACTGCAACTTGAGGCCATTGCTCCTACTCCTGTCCCCTACTGCCACAGAAAACAATCGATCTCCATCCTCTCTGTAATCACCCTTCAGGTATTTGAAGACTGTTGTCAAACTCTCCTCAGTCTTCTCTTCTCCAGATTAAATAGCCCTAGTTCCTTCAGTCTGTCCTCGTAAATCATGCTTCCCAGGCCTCGAATAACTTTTGTCAGTCTCTGCTGGACTCTTTCCACATCCTTAAAGTGTGGAGCTCAATACTGGGTACAGCACTCCAAGTGAGGCCTCACCACATAAGAACCAGTGCTGAATAAAATAAAAGAATCACTTCCCTTGATTTGCAACAGACACTTCCGTTAATCCAGTATGCTGTTGTCTTTTTTGCAGCAGGAGCATATTGTTGGCTCATTCAGTTTATGGTCAGCTGTAATCCCCAGGTCTTTTTCCATAGTATTGCAGCCTAGCCAATTGTTCCCCAGTCATATTTGTGCATGCATTTATTCCGTCCCCAGTGTATCTGGTTGATTGCGGACAATTTTTCCAGTCTCTCCAGGTAATTCTGGATCCTACCCCTGCCCTCCAGAGTGTCTGCACCTCCACCCAACTTGGTGTCATCCACAAGTTTGCTAAGTGTGCACTCTATCCCATCATCTAAATCATTAATGAAGATGTTAAACAATACTGGACCTAGGACAGACCCCTGGGGAGCCCCACTTGATACCTCCTCCCAACTGGACATTGAGCCATTGAGGACTACTCATTGAGCACGATGATCCAACCAGTTATGTATCCACCTTATAGTACTTCTGTCTAGTCTGTGTTTCCATAGCTTGTTATGCTGTGCATATATGAGGTCCAGGTTCAGTCCCCAGCATTTCCAGTTTCTTTATTAGAGCCGGGGCAGCCATGCTACAGCATGAGTGCCACAAGTGGCACAGGCAGCTTCTGTGTGGCATACATGGTAGATCTGTGGGGAGGGGAGGATAGGCAGCACAGCAGCTGATAGGGCAGGAAGCAGAAAGCACTGCAGGACATTGGGCAGGGAGCACAGAGTTGGGAGCAGAAAGCAGAGAAGCAGATTGGGCAAGGGAAGGGGATCACAGTGAAACTTAGGTTGTGGGGCTAATTTGTGCAATGCCTGCCAAAAAAGGTTGATCCCCACTGGTCTAGAGATATCATGGATGACAGAGACAATCCACTGTGTACAGGGAATTGGGCTAGGTGACCTCTCAAGGTCTCTTCCACCCTATTTCCCTATGAGTCTGTAAGGAAAAAAATCCTTCCACAGCTTTCCTGCCCAGTTGTTAAAGAGTTCTGAAACTAGGAGGTAATTATGAAGTAGCATGGGGTTTTATTTTTCTTCAGTGAGATGAGATGAGTGTTCCCTGTCTGCATGACCTCCCAGATTGGTGCAAGAGGCCTCTAGCAACAAGAAAAGTGGCTTCTGCAGGTAGAGGAACATTCCCTGAATGACAGTCAATGCAGCCAAGGTCAAGTGGAGCCTCATTGCTCCTAGTAATCAACACTAGCATATCAGATGTCCTTCAGGTTTTCTCATTGAGAGCCCTTATGCCCAGATAAGATGGATTCTCCTACAGCTGCCACATAGCATTCACAGGACACAGCACAGCCCTCCCAATAGGAAACAATCATCCATTAATGTGAGGTGACCTCGGTGATCTTCTCTGTCTCATTACTACTGGTTGCATAACAGTGATCATCTATGTGTCTTGTTTCAGAATCAAAAGGTGGGCAGGTGCTAGGAAGCAGGGTTGGGGGTAAAGAATGAGGGAAGGAAGGATCCTAGCTGGTCCTGGGTTGTCGTTTCATGGGGTATGGTCCATGCTTTGAATATTCACAGGGCCTGATTTTGCTTTCAGTTATGCTGGTGCAAGTCAGAAATGAGTTGCATTCACATCCACTGAGTTAAACTGATGTAACCTCCATGTATGCAGTGATAGGGCTCACTAACAAAAGTTTGCACAGCACTTGGGAGATGCAGAACACTAGGCAAGCACTGGGAGTTGTGCACAGTATACATAAAGCTCCCAACAGTCTGCATTTCCCCCCACCCTGAGCATGTGAGTTAATTTTCTTCAGTGTTTTTAGACACAAAGAAGCACTTGAGAATCAGGCAATCTTGTCCTCAGGAATTACCTTGGCCAGTTTTGGCCAATGTACTACAAGAGAAAGAGGAGAAAGGGCATAGTCCCAATTCTTCACCCAGGAGCTATTATGGCTTGTTCCTCCCACAGGGAAAACAGCAGGAATCCTCAGAGGCAACTGTGGCTAATGCAGGATGAATTCCCCTTGTGTTGGCTCCTTTGGCCTTTACTCCCTCACTGCCACCTTCCTAAGGAGCCTAGATATATAAATACTAGCATTAGGCAGTCTTTATGTCCTAAGCCTCAGAGCTGGGACCAGCCACAGCCCTTGCAGACTGCCCCCTTGCCACTTCCCTGGCCTTTTGTCGTAAAGTTATTCCATGTCCCTATAGATACTAGAAGGCTAAGATTGAAGTAACATACAGTTATGTGGGGGATGCTGGTTAATCCCATATGCTGCATCCAGTGCACCAGGAGCATTCCAGTTGGTAAACTGCAGGATAACACGGCTTTTCCTGTATTAGACTGCTGTTCAATGCCCCTGCCTGTGCAGGATTGTTCCCATATAAATCATAGCTTTTGTAACCTGGTTAATCTTGGACAGTCTCAGGCTGACTAAGCAGCACAGACTCTGGGCCTCAATTCAGATATGCTTTATTCAGCTTCCTACAAAGAGCATGAATGCTACAGGTCCCAGGGGCTTAATCATTCCAGGGCCTTTGAATTGAACTTGGGGCACTGCAAGACTCATAGTATCCCCAGTGGGAGAACGCTATCTACAGGGAAGCCCATGTCCTTGCACTTTGGCCCATTTCTGCTTCCACACAACCAGTCTGTCCTCATCTGCTGCTACCCTGGGGCACATCCCCACATGCAGGGGTGTGTGCCTACAGTGGCAAAAAAAGTAGCAGCATAAATTTTTGCAGCTACTTTTTGCCACCATGCATGCCCTTGCACGTGTGCTTTGGTGCAGGGCAAAGTGCCCCACTTCAGGAAAACTACCATTTCCCCACTCCTCCCAGCTCCCAGCGTGCTGGAGGAGCCAGGGTGGAAATAGAGGAGGGGAAACGTTCTGGCCAGCAGCCAGGGCATCTCCTGGGAGAACCGAGCTTCAGTGTCTGCTGGCGCACACTCCTGTGGCGTGCGCTGTGCTGCCTTTTTTTTTTTTTTTGGCTTTTTTTTTTTCCAGTGGGGGTTTTTTTGCCCCCATTAATGTGCCAAATATGTGATTTATGGTACCACAAAGAGGTTTGCAGCACCACAAACTGCACTTGCCTGCACATCTGGATCCGGCCCTGGAGTCCGTATTCAGTACGGATACAGACACAGCAGAAACGTTAATGTGCCACAAGGTGTAATGGCTTTCCTGTGAATGCCCTGTGAGAAATGGTTCTTTCGCCCATCTCCCAGCATGTGTGCAGGTCCTCAGACTGATGACGTTCTCTCCGTGTGTCAGGGCTGGGGGTGCAGGATGCTTGAGTTTGGTACATGGGATGTCCAGTCTTCATATGTATTCTAAGGGGACAGTTGTCTCCTGTATGAGAACATCCTGGACCCAAGTAGCCTCTGAGCCAGCACTTCTTGTTATAGATACAGCCAGTTCCTGTGCCCTGCATCTGAAGTAAAACTGCCTCTTGGATTCTCTGTCACATGCAGTTGAATTCCCTCCCTCTTGTTCCTTTATTCTGCTAAACCCCTTACTGCCATGTGAAATCTTGTCTCAAAATATTGAGATCTTATTTTATAGAGGCCTAGTGCGAACCCTGTGCAGCCCATGCCACTTAGCAGTGTCTTGTCAGAGACATTCTGCAAAAATAAAAAATAGTCCCTGCTAACACCTGAACCAGTCTCTCCTCATTTGAAGATTGATGCCTTATGTGGGAAATGTACTTTTTAAAGTGTTGATCGTTATGTCCTACTTTTTACTTGTGTCAAGGAGAAAAGCAGCATCGCAGTCGGACAAGCCAGCTGACAAAAAGGAAGAGGAAAGCCAAAATGTAAGTGAAGTGTTTACCATTGTTATATGCTTGTGAACATAAAGGGGGGGGATGAGGGGTCTCTTGATCTAGCCAACAGGTTGCAGCCCCTGAAAGCCTGAAGTGTGATATCTGCATGTACCATCTCATGACAAGTAAATGCTGGTTTGCTGCTGCTGCTGTACATTCAGGCAGCCACAGGCTAAATTCATTTGCTTCAAAACTTCACAGTACGAATATCCTAGAAATCAGAATCTCCTTATTCACAGATACAGCATTGTCCAAATCATTTCCATGGATGTCTCTTCACATTGTCCTCACAAAAGTGTCTTCAGAGTAAAAGAGCCCTGCCCATCCCTTGCCTCACCCAGAATATTTGTGCTGCTTCAAATGCACGGCCTACGGTGTAACGATTCCAGTATCTCCTCTCAGATGCAGTATACAGTCTTTGTTCAAACTTTTGACTTCCCAGATCACCAGACTTTAGCTGCGTTGAACGGTGTCATCATTTATGTATGATGCCTTTGGAAAGTGGTATACTGTCCTCACTGTAAAGCAAAGATCAAGTCACTCCAGATCACCAATTACATTTAAAGCTGGTTTCCCAGAGGGGGAGGGAAAGTGCTTTACCTACTAGGCTATTCAGGAGCCATAGCATATCTTAGTCATACTTTCTATACTATCAAGGGCACATATGTTTCAGTTTAATAGATTAAAATCAGTTGGGCAAGTGGGAAGGGCCAGTAGTTTTGATGCATTTTTGTTTTAGCCATTCTGGCCATATGCTGCACACATTCTCAGGAAGATGAAATGGGAGCTTCAGTCTGCTTATGAACCACGTTTTAGCAGGCTTATTTGGCAGAGCACATTTTAGGGAGCTGCTAAATAATATTGACATGTCAAGTACATTAGGTTGGGTTTTGCTCTGCTCCACTAGTGCTCAACATTTCAGCCATGTTTTGAAACTATTTATTCTGCTGCTTAGCTTGTAGGGTGGCAAATCTGAAAGTGCTGTCACCATAGTTAGCAGACAGATTGGACCAAATCCTGCTCTTAGTTACGTCTGTGTAATTCCACTGAAATGAGTGGAAATACATGAGGATAGGGGACTAAAATCTTGTTTTGTGTTTTCTAGTCAGGCTCAATTTTCACAGTACAGACCATTCCTAAACTTGGGGACTGATTAGCTCCTAAGATAGGGGGTGGTAGCAGGCACCTTTGTCAGAAGTTTGAATCCAGCCTGAGTGGTGAGGTGAATGTAGTAAGTGTTTGAGACATGGAGGTAGGAATTGGTTACCAGTTGCTGCCCACTCAGTGACCCATGTTGGTGGGCTCAGTTCCTGGTGGAAAAACAGCTACATGAAAAGCTACCTTGCTTGTACAGAGACCAACATCTAAATGAACACATGAGCATGACATAACTTCAGCAGTCCAGGACTGTTCTGTATTGGTATGAAGCATGGCCTGATGCCATCCATGCTGCGACCGATCACTGGCTAAAAGAAGAATGTTGTGCTCCAGAACTGCTGGTTCAGCGCTGTTCACAGGAACACAAGTTCCCTTTAAAACTGTGGAGCCAAAAATGAAGGACTGTTTTCTTTTTCTTGTTTAGGAAGATGCTAGCACCTCGCCTTTGCCTGTTACACGAGGTCCCAGCCAGCCGCAGAATTCTTCAGGTACTTAATGTAATTATTCATGTTGTTCATCAGTATCATCGTCCAGGGCAGACATCTTGCCATTGGGATGCGAGGTCACTGTCCCAGCTCTGAGTAAAGGGGCATTCCTCACAGAATTGTTCCAAGTCAGTTTGGTTTCAAATCTATTTGGAGTCGTATGTCTGTAGTGGGAATTTGAGTAAAAGGAAGGTGAATGTAAATTTCTTTCCCAGGGCCAGATAAAAAACAGAAGAGCCAGTCTCCTTATCTTTATCCAGAAGGCAGTGGGAATTAGGCACCTTAAATGCCTTTGAGGATCTGTGCCTTGGTTCATCAGATGATGTTTGTCTGCAGACAGGAGTAACAATGAAAAGGTTTCCGAGTGAAATGCATACGCACCCCTTTGCCATTCCTGTTTTAGAAAGCTGAAGCCTCCTCTAGCACCAGCCAGGAGGGCCGTTGAGAGTAGGGGGGACCCTAACCCTGCTGCCAGGATTTTGACACTACATCCCAAATCCCCTTTCCCTCCCCTCTCTCCCCCTCAACCCAGCAGAGAGGTAAGGTGGGATAGAGATGAAGGGCCTGGCTCCAGTGGGAGTCTCAGGAATTGGCTTAGGTCTGCTGGAAGGTGGGGTTGAAATGAGTCCATCTCTGGGTCTGGCAAGGGCAGGTGGATGGATTCCCAGTGGGTACCCACCAGTGCCCCAAGACCCAGAGTGGAGGCTGGCAGCTGGGCACCAAGCAGGCTGTTCACCCCTTCTCCCTCTCACCCTCTCTGTCTCCCTCTCCCATCCAGATGTAACAAAAAGTGCAATGCTCCCAAGTAGTACGTCATGGAAAGAGGTGCTGGTTTAGGTTTCAGCTGCCTGTAGAATGTTTCTAAGGGCTTATACATGTGCCCAGCTGGCCCTGGGAAACTGCTAGGACTCTGATCATAAATGAAAGCAAGAGACTCCAAATAACAAATCAGCTGCAAGCTGTGCAGAGACTGCCATGCAGCAGTTCTGGGCCTCATGAGAACTAAAAGGAATGGAAGAGGCGGCAGTGAAATGAGCATGTAATGAGTCCTTTGTGATCTGCAATCCTGCATCACTTCTGAACACAGAAGCCAGGCTGTCTGCTGCTTTTTCAGTAAGGAGGAAAGATCAGATAGGAAGGCATCATATAGATGAGGTTAGGGGGCTTATTGCTTCTCAAGATGCTGAGCCCAGTAACTGCCTGGAGTTGCATGACAATAAATTGGCCTGTAGTCGGGTATTCATGAACGATTATAAAATTCATATCCTAAATGTCTCAGGGCAAGAAAATCCTGACAGTTTTGGTATCTGATTTTGTGATCATATATAATGGGTTCTGTAATACAGCCCATAGTTAATAAATCCTCTGTAGTGATGTGCATAGCTGTGATTGGGCTGTCTTTTCTGAGCTATCCATGTCCTTTACAAGGAAAATCTTTTGTGCTTTTGAGACATAACCTAGGCATACGCCTCACATGGTATATTTATGCCTCATGTCAGACCAATCAGCAGAATCTCCCTAGCAGGGAAAGTTTGCTGGATAGTTTCTCAGACAGATTCTCCACCTTTTGCATTTTGTAGAACACTTTATAAGTTCAGGGACCTCTGGTGGAGGCTTCAGCTCAGTAACTAGGGTGACCATAAGTCCTGGCTTGGCCAGGACAGTCCCGGATTTCGTAGGCTGCCCCAGCCAGTTGGTGAAAATTCAAACAAAAGCCCCAGATTGACACTTCCCCCTCTGTACTGCCCACCCTGGCTCCTCCTGAGCAGTGGCTGGAGGTGCAGGGGTGGGAGGAGACTGGGCTGGGAACCACTCCTCCTGCCTGAGGCCAAAATTGGGCAGGGTGGAGGGAAAGCACTGCTGTGAGCATGTCTGCTCACACGTGTGTTCACCTGTTTGCAGCCCAGCAGAGTCAGGACCAGGGAGCAGCTGCTGCAGCAGGGCTTCCTCAGGGGGTGGGGAAACAGGATGCTTTGTACCCCTGCCATGAAGAGGGTGGGGGTCCCTCCTCCCCTGCCCACCCAGCTGCTGGGGAGCCATGTTTGGGGGTGTGGTTCTGGGCTCTGCCCTGGGACTGCCGCCTCAGCTGGCCCCATCCTATCTAGGCCCACTGTCCCTGCTGCCACCAAGTACATGTGTGTGTGTGCATGCATTGCAGGGAGGGTGGCAGGGGGCCGAGCTGGAGAGAAGGAGGGAGGGAAAGAGAGAGAGGAGTGAGTGGAGGGTTGCAGAGGCAGTGCGGGTGAGGAGGGAGCAGAAGGGGGCGGGGAAGAAGTGGTCTGATAGAGGCAAGAGGAAACTGAACCATGATGGTCAAGTAGCCACACCAGGCATGGTGCGCACACATGCCGACACAGCAGCCTGGATCCACAGCAGCTGCACACAGAGACACACACATACACAGATACATGCACACGTTGCACTAACACTTCCCACGGAATAGATCTACTTTCTTCCGGCAACAGGCTCCAGCTCAGCCCTCCTCCTCCTCCTCCTCCTCCTGATCTCTTGCCCCGCTGACCCCCAGCCACCTGTTTTTGTGGCCTTGCTCACCCCATTTCCCCAAGGGCAGTCCCTCTGTCATCCCCCACCGCTGCTGCTAGCCAGTGGGGAGAAGGAACAGCCTGGTGGGGGTTGGGGGGGCAGTGTCCCAGATTTCCTCAAAAATAATATGGTCACCCTATCAGTAACCCATTTCCTGGGTCCTTTGTGTGTTATCATTGCAGCCCACTGTCCCAGTTTAGAGAATAGGCCCTTTATTGCTTTTTGTCTTTCTAGAACTTAACATTTAAAGTAGAAATGAATAAATAAATGAATTAATAAAACCGTATGTACTGTATTTCTGTAAACTGTATGCTTTGTTTCTAACGGGGATTATTTTTTTATTAAACAAAATTCACATAGTTTTTAAGCACTTAATTATTTAGCATTAAGTAAAAAATACAGAGCTTTGTGATCTTCATCTAAGCACATTTTGCTACTATTCTGTCATTACTATTCATTATTGTTAGCTTCCAGGAGCTCCTTCATATATATCTCTGGAGCACATGTTCCTAACATTCAATTAAACCAAAGGTAGAAAAAAAAACAATTTAAAGTTTTTGTTGTGCAAAGAAAAAAAATCAGGATAAGATATCACAATTCTTCATGCTTACTTTACAGAACCGGGGAAAAAGCCATGGGAAAGAAGCAATTCTGTTGAAAAGCCTGTATCTTCATTACTCTCTAGGTGAGCTGCCCTGGTTGCTTTATAGGTCAGCTGCAAGGTCTGGACTGTAATCGCACTATCATTATAACGTACTCAATTCACGTCTTATTTCATTCCATTGCCATAGAAATCCGTCAGTGACGAAGAGTCCAGATGTTAAGAGCCCAGTACAATCTCAGCCACCTTTTAGGTACCGAAAAATGCTCTGGCATCTTAACTATCTCAGCTTGTCCTTTGAAAAATCATGTCATCCTGCATTCAGCACTAACATTCTGTCGTTATTGTCATCTGTACTCATCCTGTTGTGATTTGCTTATCTGCTGCTTTATATATTCTGAGCCAGGTATTTGTCTCAGTGGGGTTATGCAGATATAAGTGGGACTAGAATTTGGCAGGCCTAATATCAAAGGGAGCAGATGCTAGAGCAGTGAACTGCTCTGTGAATATAGCCTTGAGCCCCGATTCAGGTAGGGGCAGGTTGGAGTCATTGGGACCTGAGCACATACTTTAAGGTCAGCGGTCACTCGTGCTTTCATGAATCAGGGCCCTACTCTTGTTCCTGGCATTGGCTGGGAGCATATGCTGTGCCCTGGGAAGGGCAAGAACCTAGAGGTTCTCTTTATTGAGTTCCAGCAGGACTTGCAGGATGGTCCTTTCTGAAAGGAGAAGCCTTCATTTCCCAATACCAGAGGGAGTCCAGAAGCAGAGCCTGTATGAGGGGCCTGTCTGCAGCCAGGCGATGGAGGTTATTTCTCCATCTCTGCAACTGCAGCATAGAGAGAGGAAGAAGGAAACTGAATGTGGCAGAGGGTTTAGAGGATTCTGCTGCTAACCCTGTGAAAACCCCAAGCCAGGGAGGGTACTAACAAATACAGAAACAGGCTGTAAAGCAAAGTAGTCTACAGCAGCGCTCCAGCAAACAAAGCCCAATGGTCAAATTATGGGCCTAACACACAGTGTCAATCGCACATATTTAAAGAAAAGGAGAAATCAGCTGGCATGGAAAAAGCTGCTTTCCAGCCCTTGGCCAAAAATAGCTTGTTAGGATGGTAGAGATCTCTGGCAACAAGTAGGATATCGCTGCTATTATAGATTTCATAGACATTACGAGCTCAAGATCATTGAGTCCAGCCCCTCAATTATTCAATACAAAAATCTGTGCCTTCTTTTATACCAAGTTGTTTCATATCACAGGGCTAATAATCCACAGAAAGAGAAATGGGCAGCAGCCAATGCCTGTGCATACTTAGAGCTGTATTAAAGACCAATCCTGCCCAAAGTTTCACTGGCTTATGTGGAGATGCACAAGTATAACTGAAGGCAAATTTGGCCTCTTTTATCTGTCCCAAAGCTTCCAGGCAATGGATGTCCGTGTACATGTAGCAGTGTTTAGTAGATCAAGATTATCATGGTATTGCCCATCCTTGCAAAAACTTAGAAAAAGCTGGTAAAGCACTGGGTCCATTTAGCAAGGGGGACTCTATTTTATTCTAGTTCTAGTATGTGGAATTGCACTGACGGTTCACTCATTTGTCTACTGCATGCAAGGCATTTCCCCAAGTACTCAGTGTTTTACCATAATTCAAGTTGAACCAGCACAGGCTGCTTTTGTAAAACCCATCCCTAGCTTTGCTTAGAGCTCACTTGAATAGCATAACTAACCAACTCTACCAACCCAAAAGGACCTGATCATAGCTCCTTCTCAGGCACAAGTCTCAGTGAAGCCAGTCCTGCCTAAGCCAAAAACTGAGAAGAGAGAGAGGGCTCCAGTGGACAGAACATAAATTTTTCAGGATGCAGGGCCCAGGAACACAGCTTGTTAGCACATGGGCTCTGCCTAACCAAGAGTAGGGTGCCCTTGCATTCGCTAGTACATTTAGGAGAAGCAAGTTTCACTTTTAAATGTTACCCTCACCTTAGCAGCTGGTGAAGGCATCTGCAGTCAGAAGAGTGGATATTTATGAAAAAAAAATTTGAGCGTGGAGGACACCACTTTCCAATACTTGAACTGCAGTCCATCCTGCCACCTGCCTCCTTCCCCACACCCCACTTCCCGGCACAGTAACATCCCAAAACATTAACCATCAAGACTGTGCAGTAACGTAGCTGTGAAACTATCTAGCTTCATTTTACTGATCAAGGAATTGTTGGATACAGAAGGTTTCACTGAGTCTTTATCCTCTGCTGCATTTCAGTGTTAGGAAAGCAGATCTTTTGATGTGTAGTGGTGTAAGGGAGCAGCTTTGCAAAATCTTCCAGAGTGACTCAAGAGGGAGCAGTGGAACATTAGAAAGATTAACTTTATTTCAGAGCTGGATGGTGCAGTTTTTCTGTTTGCTGACTGCTGGTAGCAGGGATCAGTTGTGTTGGCAAAAAATTGATTTGCTGCTTTATCCTTTGTCTCCCTCTCTCAAGGATGAAGCCAGTAAGCAGCAGCAATGATGTGGCTATGGATGCCTTAGATTTTGATCGAATGAAACAGGTGAGTGAGTGGGTCTTGGGAATCTTATGGAGTATTTTGACAATTCCTTTCTTTTATATATGAAGAACAGTTGTTTGGCCAACATGAAAACAGCAGCTAGGGATAAGGGTCATCCAGTTGCTACAGTGTATCTGGACTTCCAGAAAGCCTTGGACAAAGTCCCACATCAAAGACTTTTAATGAACTTGGATTGTTGCAGGATTCAAGGGCAGGTCTGCTTGTGGATCAGAAACTGACTTAGGCAGAAAACAGAGTGGGTATAAATGTTCAGTATTCAAAATGGAAACAAGTAAACCAGGAATCTCTGTTAGGACCAGTGCTGTGGGACAGTCAATAGTAAAGTGGCCAAGTTCGCAAAATGACATAAAATGATTCAGAGTGGCTAAGGACCCAGGCAGACTATGTAGAACTACAGAAGGATCTCACCAAATGGGCAACAAAATGGCAAATTAAATTCAGTGTTGATAAGTGCGAAGTAATGCACATGGGAAAAAATAACCTAAAAACTATATACACAATGACAGCTTCTACATTCAATTTTACCATGCAGGAAAGATCTTGCTGTCACTGGAGATAGTTTGCTAAAAACATCAGTTTAGATCTCAGCAGCAGTAAAAGAAGGCAAATAAAATGTTAGGAATTATTAAGAAGGGAATGATAAACAAAATGAAAAGTATTTTTATGTCCCATTGTAAATCTATGATCCGTCCATAGCTCAAATACTACGTGCAGTTTTGGTCCCCACACCTCAAAAAGGTGACAGAAGAAGTAAAAAAGGTACAAAGGAGAACATCAAGGATGACTGGGAGATGAGAGGGGCTTCCATGTGAAAAGACACTAAATAGGCTAGCACTTTTCAGCTGAGAAAGATATGCTTGAGGGGGGCATGGTGGAGGTTTACTAAATAGGAAATGGTATACAGAAAGCAAATAGGGGCTTATTATGTAGGATCTTTTCCAATACCAGAACCAGGGATTATGATATGCAGCTATTAAATCACGGGCTAAAAAATTAACAAAAATAAGGTTTTTTGCACGTGGCATGCATTTAACTTGCGGAAAGCAGCCTCTGAATCCAAACTTCCTCAATCTCTAAATACTTGAAATTGCAATGGGAGGAGTACGGTGTGGAAAATTTTGGACATACCTTGTTCACCTTCACCCTCAGCCTCTATTCTCTGCCACTTGTGAGACAGGATACTGGGCTAGGGTGGACCTACAGTCTGTCCTATTAAACAGGATTTTTGTGTTCAGCTTTGGTTTTTTTGGCTCTTATCTGTTTGGTCAAGCCCTGCAAGACCTCTGTTATGACTCTGAGTAAGGCAGAATGGATCATAGTGGCTCCTTGATGCTCAGAAGATGACAGTCGCATAGAGGGTAAAGTGTCTGTGCAGCAATGCTTCCCTGTTCTGTAATATATCACATCTAAGATCTCTTTCAATTTGACCTAGAGGAATATATTTATTTAGCTGCCACCAGCAATAGGCTTTTATCTCTATGTGGGCCAACCAAGAAAAGAGGACGTGAATCACTTAGGGCCAGATTTTATGTCATCTATTAGGTGCATAAATAAATTAGATGTTGAAGTAGATTTAGGCAGCTAAATGTGATTCTGTATCCACCTGCTTAAGTCCCTAAAAAGCTCTTAAAACAAAGGTAGGTCGTCCTCCTTCTCCTCACTGCTTTTGTGCCACTTCATTTTATGGGTTAGATGACAGTGTGTTATAAGAGTTACTGCATTAATGGATTTTCAAAACTTGAACGCGATGGAATGAATTGCACTTAGGCACCTAAGTCCACTTAGCCACTTTGTAGGTGGAATAAAGTCTGGCCTCTAGGGTGCTACAAGGCTTTTTCTTCTACAAGTTAAAAGGAAATTCTGATCAGATCACTTTTGTTTTCTCAGGAAATATTGGAGGAAGTTGTAAGAGAGTTACACAAAGTGAAAGAAGAGATAATTGATGGTAAGGAATGGAAAAAATAATTTATTTTTATCTTTTTATCCTGTGAAATTTCATTCATGTTCAAAACAAGACAGAACGAACTACAATGAATGCTTCAGGAAGTACCTCTAAGAGCTGCTTGGAAAAACTCTTTTCTTAAATATGCATTAGTTTAATGAAGATAAGAGTGGAGATACATGTAGGGAGATGTGACCATTCAAGGGCTGTGGTTCTCCTACAAATGCCCTCCTGGTCATGGAGCAATGAAGTGTGCCCCAGAAGTATAAGCACAGGCATTGTGTATGTGTCTGTTTTTTCTGAAAATACACTGCAGTTCTGACAACATATACATAGTGACATAAGATAACATACTGCAGTTCCCAGTTAAATCAATGGAAGCCTGAAAGCAAGAACAGGGAGCAAACTCTAAGTCGGAGGGGACACATTTTAAACCTGTTAGAACTACATAAGAAAATGTATGGAGAAAGGCTGGGGCCTAGGACTCTATCCTGCATTTACTTAATTTTCTCATTTTTTCTCAGCTACCATCCCACACTTCTGACCCTTTTGGTTTAATGGTGCAAAGCTCTCAGTCACCACCTTTGCATTTACTTAGTCATTCTGGGAGTAAATGATTGGTTAACCTTTCACTTTGGTTTTCTAGCCATAAGGCAGGAGTTGAGTAGAATCAGCACGACATAATGACTGCACAGTATCTGGAAGGTACTAAGGATGCTAAGAAGACTGGATCATTTCTAAATGTATCAAGGTCATGCAAGATGGAGAAAAAAGAGGACACCTGCACTGTCTTTGTTCTTAAACCCTTTTTATTAGCAGACTCAGCACACTTTGAAGCTTGCTGCTGCCTTGGATTTGCTTCATTTTAAAAGTCTTAATCTAAAAGAATATTCAATTTTAAATTTCTGGATTTTTTAGATTTCATCTGACACTGCACATTGGATTTGTCAGCCTTTTTTGTATTTTGTATTTGCTTATTTAAATGTATTACATTTCTTTTTAGTAGTAGGTAAGACAACATGTGAACCATCTGCTTTTAATAGATGACTTCAAAGTAATTTTATTAGTAGTCTGCAATGTAAATGAAGCCCCTTTGCCAACAGAAATGTATTGTGGCATCACCAGAAGAAACAGAGACACATCAGTTGTCAACTGACAAAAGTTTTTTGTGTCAGTTATCACAATATTAAACCGGTACGTCAGTGCACCACAGTATCTGTGTTCATATTGGTAATAAACTGTTTATCGTCCACATGGCCCTCTGCTGGTTTTGTTTATTAGCCTCTGCAGCTTCGTACTTTTGGTCTCCTGTGTCACTCCAGTAGGTTTTCCCTTGGCACCACTGAACACAATAGTAAGGCTGCCTCTTGACTACCAAAAAAAAGTCACGTAACATTTATTTTTAATATAAGGATCAGACAAGGCACATCACTGCTGCATTAGTCTGTCCTTAGACTACAACTACACCAAGTGCTTCAGGTTATATCTTGTCCCTCTCTGAACACTAGCTGTCAGTGCAAGCACTATAGCAGCTCTGCAGCAGATCCACAAGAGAGGGCTCAAGACTTGCCAGCCTCACCTGTCTCCTCCCCACTTTCTTACTCTGCCCAGGCACAAGCAGCCGTCTAGAAATACTGCCTACCAGTCTCCACTCAGAGTCCTTCATAGCCTTAGCAACTTCATCTGGTCAGAATACAGAGATTGTACAACAGTTTTTGAACTGCACTGCACTGTTTAAGCCTACCGCTCCTCTTAGACACCATAAGTCAGGGGTGGGCAAAATATGGCCCGCAGGCCCCAGCCTGCGACACCATTCTATCCAGCCTGCGGGACCCCTAAAAAATTTAGAAAATTAATATTTTTCTGCCTTTGGTTCCTGTAAAAAAATGACAGTAGGACCCAGGGGAAGCCCAGCAGGCTCCCACAACAGCAGGGGCTTCTGGCTTGGGACCATGTGGCTGCCTTGTGCTGGAACCGCAGGTGAGGGGGAAGGACGGGGGGACCCCAGGCAGGGAAGGAGCCCGGGCAAAAGCAGCCCAGGGAAGGGAAAGCAGTCCCTCACCCGCCCTGTGGCTGGCACCCTGCACTGCAGCCGCTTGCAGCCCATGCGGCGCTGCCTGTGCTGCCTCCAGACAGCTCTGCGGGGGCTGTGAGCAACTGCAGCAGGGAGCGACGGCCATGGGGCAGGTGAGGGGCCACTTTTTCCCGCACTCAGCACCAGTTTCTTCCCTGCCAGTGAGCAGGGGGTTGGGGTTGTGCGCTGCTCCCCGCCTGTACTGGGGGGCACTGGGTGTGAGTGGGCAGGGAGCCAGCGGAAGCACGGGACCCATACCGGTGTCCCGGGGCCAGTGCCAGCAGGACCCAGAGCAGGGTGGCAGGAACACGGGGTCCCGGCCAGCAGGGGCTCTATGGAGCTGGGCCAGCTCCCCCCTCGTCTCATTGGTGCAGCCCAGCCCAGATCCACAGACCCATGCTGGCCCTAGGACATTGGTCCCAAGATGGTGACCAGGGGGGCGGGGTACCTGTCAAGGGGCGGCCCTCAACAGCCTGCCAAAACTGGGTAAGCGACCCTCTGCTGGAAATAATTGTCCACCCCTGACATAAGTTCACCTCAGTCTTAGTCCTGTAATTTGTTCATTCCTGCTTGCCCTCACACTTTCTCCCTGCGGGACCTCCCTTTTACTCCCCCTGACAGTTTATGAAATCTCAAGTGCTGTGGCCTGTTCAGCACTAGGCTACTTGGCAATTGTAAAACAGTTTTGTCACCAGTCATACATGTTGACACTCTTCTAAATTCCCTGCTACTACTAACCTGTGACTGCCATGGGCATGGGCTCAGCGTTGGGGCCTTTTTTTAAATGCACAAATTGAAATGGGACTTTAAGGCTCATATTATCACACTGTAGCCTGCAGGAACACTAATGCAGGGCACTTGCCTTTTATCCTCAGAGCTGTGGCTGAAGTCCAAAAGTGCACACCCAGTCATACTTTGTAAAAATAATGGCCCATTCTTCCACAGTCTAACTACAATCTTGAGTTTCCACTTGACTTAGTTCAGCATAAGCTTTACAAGAGCAGAATCTGATATCATCTTCTACCATTGATAACTTTCTGTTGAAAGACAACTGTTTGAACTTGGTTATTAAATCTGTCAAACATTCTCCAGGACCAGTTACTATTGCTGCAGTGCTTCCTGCAGCCAGCTTTCAAAAAAAACTTTGTAGCCCTTCTGTTTTAGGCATGCAGTCCAGTGTGACCTTCCAGGTTTATAGAGCCTGTCTGGCTAAATAAATACCATTTGGAATAGCAGTAAACAGGCTCTTTCCAGAAAGGAAGCAAAAGCTGGCCAGTGGTACAACCTGGAAAGAACTGCCTAATCAACCAGAGCAGACAGCGCCTGCCTTGCAGTTCACCTTAAAATTTTCTTGGGGTTTCAGCACAAATAGCCCCACTCTCACCTCTTACTAAAGTCCATTTTTACCCAGCTGTCAAACACTACTTGCTGGAGTAAGAACTCCACCAAGCTGGTTATACTGTACATTTAGTTCTGTTCAAAGAATTACTATAGCCCACATGTAGATCCAAGTTGGTCTAAGAGTTTGACAGAAGCATCAACTCAGTTGAACACATACTGTTAAATAACTGGAGCCAGGCTTCTAGAACTGCCTTGAAAAGACTGTTCCTTGCATACAAACCAGCGGTAAAGCAGAAGGAATGTCGGAGATGACAAGGGGCGGTGATTCAAAATAGCTAACAGACACTCGACGTACTGATGGATGGATCGATTCCTCTGCTGAATCCTTGCTGACAAATACAATCTCTAGTTACACAACAGTGTAAAACACTGTATAGCCTGCACTACCTCTGCAAAGGTTACATCGGGACACAAGTAAGTTCTTCAGTGACCCTTAAGATGGCCAGTATTCATGCAACATTTAGAAACCGCTACGTCTCAGATATGCTAAACCATTAGTTTCCAGTATATGCTCTTCTAGTACCACCATTCTTCGCTTCCACTAGGTCTAGAAAAGCTGAGCCTTGTAACATGGTTCTGCTCTGCAGCGTAAACCAAAAGGATACCTTCTTTTCCAAAAGCTGTGCAGCCTGGCTGTCTTCTAGGTCTTAGAGACTATGGCCTATGGTACATGTACTTCTAGATTCTCCTGTTAGCCCTGCAGAACTAAATCGAATGAGCTGAATTGTTTGCTGGCTCACATTTAGCAGCACTGAGATTAAAGCGCAGGGAAGTTGCTTGGAAGATTTCTTTCCTTTAATTTGAAGAAGCTGATCTTGTATCACTGACCATGAACATGGAAATCCAGTGCTCACTTTCAAACCAGAAATCCACTAGAAGGAACAGATTTTTGCTGTTTTGCTTATCATGCATTGCAGTGGGCTCTAGTTATTTCACCTACTTTCACTTTCATTTTGGGGTCATTCCCCCACCTTCTCCTACATATGGTACATGACAGGAGTGCAGCTGTCCACCCAGTTGCAGAAACCAGAAACAAGGAATTTTAGCTGGAAGAGTACTGCAGGGATACAGCCAAGAAAGCAGGGACTTTGGCATGCATTCAACTGCTGTTTGCTTGCAATAATAGTATGCCAAATACCTGTTTGAAGAAAATTTCTCCAGTTCTCCAAAACCTATAACATTCTGCTTTATAAAAACAGGTCTCACTTGAATCTCAACAAAAATTCAGGACCTTAAATTAAGGGATATGTATTTTCTTGGGTTTTCCTTTGTTTTTTTTTGCTTTGTTGGGGGTTTTGTTTGTTTTTGATTGTGACCTAACAAGTTCCCAGATGACAGCAATGTTCAGGCACAGGCAACTGGTAGGGGAGGCACAGCGGGCCACATGCCCCCCAACTTGGTACCGTGCAGGATGGGGCAACTTTTTGCCGCGTGGGCCAGAGGCGTGTTGGGGGAGAGGGGGGAGCACTAAGCTGCAGCACAGAAGTATAGGAGTGGATATGGGGCTTTTGGCCCGCCCACAAATTGTCCCCATCCCCCCTACCCCAGACTCAGGAGGCAGCAGTCACCCCTGCATTCAGGAATACATGCATATGTAACGTGTTGTCAGGATAAGCACAAAAAAAATCCTTTAGTAAAAGTTACATTACACTAAAATTAATATTAATGCCTTTGGTTGCTTCATAACAACATTTCTTTGCCTATATAAAACCTGAAGGCATAAGAATGTTACTTCAGCTCTTTTCAGCAGTCTCTGAAAACTCAGTTTGGGAAATTAGGATCAAATTATTTATATTAATAAAAGGAAATGACACAAATCTATAGGTTTTCTCTTGCTAGTTTACATATTCTCTTAACTCTTGAGTAAGGGCCAATTGTGTCATCAAAAATGAAATCCCAGAGAACTCGAACCCAAGACTGGTGCTGAGGAAGGTTGTCATAGTATTCTGCTGCGATCTTCTTCACCTGAAAAGAAAAAGAAACCCATTTAGCCAAGCATTGCCAAGGCCAGTTTTGTTTTCTAGGTCAGTTTATGCTTCACTTCCTTGTAGCTTTAAAAGTAGCCTGAAAGACTTACCGTAGCACAAATCAAACTCCATCAGATCAAGACCCGCTGCAGTACTGAGAGCTGTTGCATTTTAGACAGCTAGTTCTTGTAGCACAAAGTGCCAAGCAGAAGTTCCAGCTTTGCCTTCTTTTACTCAACATGTACACATACAGTATTTTGCCCACTTCAACTACAAAGCACTCTGGCTACACACTTGATTGCACTAACAAAACCAAGTATTTCAACTGCAATATCTAGTGGGACTATTTCACAGGTTCACTATTTAAGGGCTACTGTGAGTGTCAAATCTAGTTTAGTTTTATACATGGACTTTGAGAACCAGAACAGTTTTAGTAAAAATTCAGGTCCATCTGAATCCAGCTGGAGCTTTGTTAGCTGTGTCGTGTCCCCAATGGGCTGATCTAGCTCCATCCTCAGAACTTCGAAGAACCTAAATCTGATCGTTGGATTTTGGTCCCTGACATTCAGCAGCCCCAACCTAGGATTTTCGGAGAAGGGAAGAGAGGGTCTCTGAATTGTCCTATTTTACCCTGAAGTAACAAGTACTGGCCAAGGCCAGGGAGAAACAGGTTAGCCTGTGGCATGTTAGGCTGCCCCAGTTTAAAACTTGGAACTCATGATGCAATCCCTCCCAAATTATCTAGCCCTGCCCTAACAATGGCAAGTTTACCCCCCCCCCCC